GATGGAGGGAGGGAGGGAGGGACGGTGGGTGGGAAGGAGGGAGGAAGAAGAAAGACGAATTAAAGGGATGGGGAAGGGGGAAGGGAGAGGAGAGAAAGAGGGGGAGGAGAGGGAAGAGAAAGTAAGAGAGAAAGGGGAGGGGGGACATGTCAGGGAAAATTCTCATGGACCCACTTGGTCCCTACTCTGCCTGCTTTGAGCGTCTGCCCCACTCAAGTAAACAGAAGGATTCGTACTCCTGGCCTCTCTTTACTCCCAGGTGCCTAACAGTATTAAAATATTGGGTATTAAAATATTGGGTATCATATGACTGAGCAAGGATATTATTTAAAAGTAATATTTTTATAAATCAGCTGTCAGAGATATTCTCAAAATCACTATCTCATAAATTCTGTTAATTAAGCCAATTTGACCTCATTTTACCTCTCAGAGAAGGAAATGCAAAAATAGAAGGAAAAAAAATCATATAGTGAACTTAGGTCATTTTTATTCTCAGAATTTTAATCAGGGAGTTATTATTGTAGCAAGGGGCTGAGAGTACTTTTTATTCCTTTTTAAATAAAATAGTACTGCTAGAAATGCTAGATTATAAGAGGAAAGACTATCGGAACTACCTGACATAACTTTATTCCAGTTAACTAAAGGAGGAAGATGTATATTTCAAAAACTTGGCAGATTCAGCCTCATCAAAACTTTCAAAAGATGCTAACCTCCAGCTTTGGTACTTTCGAGTAAATATTTTGATACCTAAGACCAAACCTAAATATTTGTTAATTATTTTACTTTGATGCATGGTTAGCAACTTACAGAAATGTTTGCTGAAATAATGTACCATAAATTGTGTTTTGAAACACTGCACATGTGCTTCTTTTAAAATTCATGATCATAAAATAACTCTTCAGAGGCTCCCCAGAGTTTCAGAAATGATATGCATATAAACATTAAGGCTCTCCGAAGAGAGTAATTTCAGTTACATTAAATACAACTGTTTTCCAAAGTCCCGGGACGTGTATATCTGGTCATTGCTGTCTTAATTAAAATACGATGGCATAGAAGTCCCGTCTGAGTTTTAAGCAAGGAGAAATTTCCTATATAATTGGATACCTGAGTTAGGATGTGGGTAAAGAAAATACGAGGCTGGAGACGTCAGTGCCATGAAAGAAGAAACCCTCACACTTAACCACTTTACAAACCCTGCTCGAATAGTTACAAAGTCCCTAAAAACAAAAAAAGTTTCAGTTTCCTTCCATAAAGTTCCAAGATGAGCCACAGCTTGGGAAACCTTTCTCTGCAGAGAAGGAATCTGATTGGAAGAAACTTTTTCAATTGGTTAAAAGTTTGCTTCTTGGAGAGATTTTGGAAATCAGTTTGCGGGATGTATAGCGGCAGCAAGTTCGCCCAGAAGCGAAGGAACAATGAAAAGCACGTCCTGTTCTTTTGGGGGGACACAGGCCGTTCCCTCTGCCCAGCTCAGGGGGTGGAAAGCGGACTGGCTTGCAGTGCACCCCTCTCGCCCCGCCGCGCGCACCCCAAGGGCAGGCCGGCGGCTGCGGGGAGCAGCGACCGGGGATCCCCCGCCCCACAGGATGCACCAGACCCCTGTACCTCTTTGCTGGTGCGCCTGTGGCAGCGGCGGCAGCGGCTGCGCCTGGGCACCCCCGAGGCCCCGGCTGAGCAGCAGGACCAGAAGGACCCCGGCGGCTCCTGGCATCGCGGTGGCCGAGCGGATCCGCTTCCCAGGAGCCGGAGGAGTC